CTTTTGTACGGGGTGACACCAGACCCGCTCCACGGATAGGTAAGTTTTAAAGCAAGCTGATGGTTGGCTTGCTTTAAAACTTACCTTTTCGTGGAGCTCGTGGAAAGATCAGTTAACCCCATATAGGTTGAAAGCTGATGATTCCCGCAGGATGGATTGGATCTGCAGATTGGGGAGGATAATGGATCGGACTCCGATCCATTATGCTCAGTCCGAAGATCCGGTCCATCCTGCGGGGATCTTCGGAAGGGGTGTCACCAAGTGTTCCGGCAGCGGGTGACACCAACCCTAGGAACGCCCCTGGTCAGGGATAAAGTTGTTGAAGTTTAAAGCAGGGTTAGGTTATAAAAAAATATCCCAAGCTTTGAACATCTTAAGGAGCACTGTTCAATCCATTATCTCAAAATGGAAAGAGTATGGCACAACTGCAAACCTACCAAGACATGGCCGTCCACCTAAATTGACAGGCCGGGCAAGGAGATCATTAATCAGAGAAGCAGCCAAGAGGCCCATGATAACTCTGGAGGAGCTGCAGAGATCCACAGCTCAGGTGGGAGAATCTATTAGTCGTGCATTCCACAAATCTGGCCTTTATGGAAGAGTGGCAAGAAGTGGCCATTGATGAAGGAAAGCCATAAAAAGTCCTGTTTGCAGTTTGCGAGAAGTCATGTGGGGGACACAGCAAACATGTGGAAGAAGGTGCTCTGGTCAGATGAAACCAAAATTGAATTTTTTGGCCTAAAAGCAAAACGCTATGTGTGGCGGAAATGTAACCCTGCACATCACACTGAACACACACCACCCCCACCGTGAAACATGGTGGCAGCAGCATCATGTTGTGTGGATGCTTTTCTTCAGCAGGGATAGGGAAGCTGGTCATAATTGATGGGAAGGTGGATGGAGCCAAATACAGGACAATCTTAGAAGAAAACCTGAGTCTACAAAAGACTTGAGACTGGGGTGGAGGTTCACCTTCCAGCAGGACAATGATCCTAAACATACAGCCAGAGCTACAATGGAATGGTTTAGATCAAAGCCTATTCATGTGTTAGAATGGCCCAGTCAAAGTCCAGACCTAAATCCAATTGAGAATCTGTGGCAAGACTTGAAAATTTCTGTTCACAGACGCTCTCCATCCAATCTGCAAGAGATTGAGATATTTTGGAAAGAAAAATGGGCAAAAATACCACTCTCTAGATGTGCAAAGCTAGAAGAGACATCCCCAAAAAGAATTGCAGCTGTAATTGCAGCCAAAGGTGGTTCTACAAAGTATTGAAAACCATTTATCATTTTCCTTCTTAATTATGTGCCACTTTGTGATGGTCTATCACATAGAATCCCAATAAAATGCAGTTATGTTTTTGGAAAATTTCAAGGGGCATGAATACTTTTTTAAGCACTGTACATGTGAGGTATTGTCAAAATTCTAGCACCAGACGTCCTATGTAACTCTAAACTGGTGACTTGTAAAGGCTTTTAAAGCATTGCCTATGGAGATTTTTAGGTACCGTAGTTTTTTTGGTTCCATTCCACAGGCGTACGCAGTTTTAAAGCATGACAAGTTTGGTATCTATTTACTCAGCATAATACCATCTTTTATATTTTACCAAAACAATGGGTATTATATTGTGTTCTTCTGCATTAACATTAATTAAAGTGTATTTTTTCCAAAAATGTGCATTTGAAAAAACCATTGTGCAAATACCATGTGGCATACAAATATGCAATACCCCCATTGTATTCTCTAGGGCAGGGTTAGACAACCTTTGAGAGGTGGAGATCTACCTGAACAGAATGAAAGAGACCAAAGATCACCATTTCAGCACCATTTTTTCCCAGAAATTAACTAGCAAGGCCTAACTAAATAGTTAGGAAAACTTAGAAAAATACAATAAAACAAATGTCACTTAAAAATATAAACTTAGCCTACCTTAAACGTGGCCATTATCAATAAGTACGGTAGTGGACAGTGTCAGTAGTTTTTGCTTTTATTATTTTTTACAATTTTATTTTTATTTTTTTTCATAACATGTTTTAACAGCCCTGTTTGAAGGCTTTGGTAAACAATAAAGGGGAGCACACAGGGGGGCCTGGCAGCCAAAAAAAGAGGAACAAGTACAGGAGGGACAGCGGCGGAGGCATTTACTGGAACCTATCTTCTGGATTTTCCTCCTGCAGCAGCTGTTAGCTGGTGGGAGGGGGAGGAGGAGAAGCTGGCTTTTAACTGCTGCAGGAGGAAAAAGTATCATTGGCAGGCAGGTATTTTAAAAATCTGAATTCCCAGCAAGTGGCTGGGGATTCAGATTTTACCAACTCCCCCTCACCCTGGCATCCTAAGGCGGCTGCCAAAGCAGCCTTATGTGGTACCAGCCCTGCCCATAGCAGAGTCTTCTGCCCCTTTCACATCATCTCCCCCAAAGTAGTGTCCTCTGCCCCCCTTCACCTCCCCCAGTAGTGTCCTCTACCCCCCTTCACCTCCCCCAGTAGTGTCCTCTACCCCCTTCACCTCCCCCAGTAGTGTCCTCTAGCCCCTTCACCTCCCCCAGTAGTGTCCTCTACCCCTACCCCACAGCAGTGTCCTCTGCCCCCCCCCCCCCACCATTTCCCTCTCATTGTACCCCCCCCCCCCCCCCCCCCCCCCCCCCCCCGTGTCCCCTGCCTCCCCCCAATATCAGTGTCCTCTGCCCTCCCTTTCCTTCCATAGTAGTGTCCTCTGCCCCCCCCCCCCCATTGCAGTGTCCTCTGCCCCCCTTCCATCCCATGGCAGTATCCTCTTCCCCCCCCCTTTCCTCCCATAGCAGTGTCCTCTGCCTCCCCCTTCCCCCCCCCCCCCCCCCCCCACCCGTAGCAGTGCTCCTGCATCCCCCCCCATGGCAGTGTCCTCTGCCCCCCCCACCCTTACCACCCCCCTATGCAGTATCCTGTGTTTCCTTAACATCACCCTCCACACAAGGAGTAGTGTCCTACTGTATGCAAAAATATACTGAATATATAAATGCTGGGGGTTCTAAGTAGTTGTTTTTTTTTTTTGCAAAAAAGTTATGTTTTTTTATATGTAGGAGAGTAATATCAGAATTGGGGCAGGCTAGAAGTGGTAAAGTGAACTTCTAAAAGTATTTGAGACCTCAAATTAGCCTCCCAGTATGTAGAAGCCACCCTGTGGTGCTTTTTTTTAACAGGTAACCCTCTGGTGCTTTTACTTAACTTCCCTATTCCTACCGCTTGCTTTGATCGCTGCTGCAGACCCTGAAAAATGCTAGTCATCATTTTTGGTTGGTACTTGCACTTTCCTAAGCAAGTGGTACAATAAGTAATGGTACCTTAAAAGTCTTTTACATGGTGGTGAGAAGGTGTCTTTTTTTTTTTTTTTACTGGTTTCCTTTGAGGTTGCAGACAAGACTGCATGACTGTTCTTGCTTAGGACTATAGAGGAGGTGACAGCGAGCAGACAAGCTTCCCTGGTACAGCGAGGTGCGGGGAACAAATGTCCAAATGCCAATGCCAGCCCTTTTGCAACCTACTAATGGCTGTGGTATTGTGAGGATGTGCCTTAAGGTTAGGTTTACATCTGTGCGTTTTTTAGTGCGTTTGCAGATCCACAGAAATGCAGTACAATCCATTTAACCTTATTTCTTATGGGTCTCGTTCATATCTATGTGCAAGGACTTTTTTTTTGTATGCAGCATGTTGCTTTAATGGCTCCATAGACTTCAATGGAATCACATAAAAAAATGCATGAAAAATGAATGTACATGTGTTTTTGGTGTGTTTTCCTGCATGACAGACACCTCCTTCTAGGAACATCAACATTTCCCCAAAAAAATGCAAAATGCATAAAAACATGCATGAAAAAACTTCAAAATGCTCCAGAAAACACAAAATGCACATTCATAGATGTGAACCTAGCCATAGCCTGGTACACACATTTTGGGCAGTGGAAAAATAAAAAAACTTGAGATCCCCCCCGCAAGCAGAATACACTGATCAGCACTTGCAAAAGAGAGGAAGGAGCCTCTAAGTGCAGTATTGACAATTTATTCAGTAAACAATGGAAAATTTGCACTTACAAGATAAACGGTTCAGGTCTGAAGAAGGAGCCTATTGAGCATGCTCCGAAATGCATTACCACCCCCTTCACCTGCTACATCTGACTCTGCTCTCCAAGCTTCATTTTTGATGCACAGGCACATCCTGGTCTCTACTTCCTGATCCTATAGGCATAGTCTGCTGCTGGACGGCTGGATGTCCCACCTGGATCTAATTACCACAGGATGAGTCTTTTTAACTGTTTATCTTGTAAGTGAAAATTTTCCATTGTTTACTGTCAATACTGCACTTAGAGGCGCCTTCCTCTCTTTTTTTGTTACTGCATTAGAGCCTTGCTTCCACTCTAAGAAGAGCTGCCTCAGTGTTACTGCTCCCATCCATCCCTGATATCCATCTGGCACCTTTATCTTACAGCTACAGAGGTTGGGCTCCAACAAGCGCTCCCTATACAATATACATTTTCTGATCAGCACTTGCTGCCATTAGCTGCGAGAGCTGATCGAATGCTGGTTCTCCAGCATGCCCATTTGAAAGAAGCCAGTTGTTAGCTGTACACTTGGACCAATAGTTGGCTGGTACCTGCTGATTTTCGGCTTGTGTGTGCTGTGCTTAAAACTCTCAACTTTTACAAAATTGGTATTTGGTACCAAGCAAAGGGGGTTCCAGGGCCCCTGATGGGTTTGGACTTACTAGTATAAGTTGGTGCCTGTCCTCGCATGGGAATTTTAGTTTATACACGATTTTGTGAAAGCGCCCTCAATAAACCATGAAAGTGTCAAATGGTTTGAAATGCTGTATGTGATCCGGAGTATAATAGATAATCTGTGAATTTTCCATGGTAAAGCTAAAATGATTTGAAGTACAGTACAGCAACATTAAGTAAAAATAATTCCTGATTTTGATTATAAATACAATTTTATGACTCATTTTATACCCATTTCGATCTTTTGCAGCTATTGACTTGTTATACTGGCGGGATATAAAGCAGACCGGAATTGTATTTGGAAGTGTCCTTCTGATGCTCTTCTCCCTGACCCAGTTCAGTGTGGTCAGTGTCATCGCCTACCTAGCACTTGCTGCCCTCTCAGCCACAATCAGCTTCAGAATCTACAAATCAGTTTTACAGGCTGTACAGAAAACCGATGAAGGCCATCCATTCAAGTAAGTCATTTTGGCAAAATACTTTTCATAGGTCAAACACTGTCAGACACAAGTTAAAGTGGAACTGAATTTAAAAAAATTAAGATTTGCTATTTTATAGGGAAAATTTAGAAAAGCTAGCGGTGTCTAAGCAAAACTCAGAAAGATGTACGGTTTTCTCTTGAATTCCTCCTAAAGAAAAAAAGTTCACTTCCTAGTAAGTTAGCAAGTGTGTCTAGGCACTCCAGTGCCTCCAACCACATACAGTAGCTGGATATCTGCAGTGTATTATAAAGGCACTTCTGCCTCTGGACTGCTATTTTCAGGAGATATGAGATTTGGTGATGTCACTATCGTGCTGCTCACAGTTCTCCTTGCTTGAGTCTCTGACATTAGGAGGAAAACCCTGCCAAAATGGCAGCTGTCTCACAGAGACTAAGTGCAGAACAAGGCATGCTGAGTTAGTAAAAGAGAAAGGAACAGCTTCTGGGAGACCACAAGTAGTTATTTGCCTCTGCTTTTTTAGACCCAGCTTCCTCCTCAATTATGCAAATGACTGTGCAAAGTGCAGTAACCCATAGGAAACATTACATTCTGACATCTACACATAATGTTCTCAGAAAAGTTACCTCTCCCAGGACTCAATGCACTCCACATCTACACCAGCAGCAACTCTGTACTTGTGACATTTAAAATGACAAAAGTGTGCTGTTACACTTGTGTAAAAATATAATACAATGCATAGTCATGGTTAATGTTCAGATTACTGTGAATTGAGAATTTATATAGTTCATTTTTTTGAAGCCATTGTTTATTGCCTTCAGTATAATTGGTTAATATACTGCCATCTTGTGGATATTTTGGTTATGGCACCATCTTTTTCTATCTTCCACCCTGTGTTCTTCCCACTTGTGATGTACTTCCTCTTCCTTTTCACTCTGTCTTTATTGGGATGAATATGGCTGCTAGTCTCTAGCCCACATGTAATCTGCTCACATCTGGGAACACATTACTATGTTTGACCTGCAAATACCATCTTTTCAGTCATCTGCTACATCTTGTTGTCTGGTGTACATTCTGGATTGCAATAAAAGATCAGTGGATGAGAAAAAGGTGTTTGGTGAGTTCAGCTATCTGATAAAGCCTGTCTGCAGTGATTGTGTCTGCTTATACAGGCATAGATGTCTCAGCAAGGGATAAGTCACTAATACAACAGTGGGAGTCAGAATAAAAGGAATGGTATAACAAAGGAAAAATGAGAAGCCTGCTTCTTCTTTGTCAAATGCAAAAGTGTTTGATACAATTCCCCACACACGGCTAATGTGTAAGGTAAAGTCTACAGGCTTGGAAAAATAAGTTTGTAATTGGATTGAAAACTGGTTAAAAGACCAAATTCAGAGAGTAGTTAATGATTCATACTCTGAACGGTCTAGGGTTATTAGCGGTATACCCCAAGGTTCAGTGTTGGGACCAGGGATGGACTGACCATTTGGAAACTCGGGCACTGTCCGAGGGCCCAGGGTCAGTAGGGGGCCCCATGAGATGCCCCTGGTACCTTTTTCATAGGCTTTTTTGAGTTTGGGCAAGGACACAGGGGCCCCATGATCCCCTATTGCCCGGGGGCCCCATGAGTTGTCAGTCCGCCCCTGGTTGGGACCCTTACTTTTTAATATATTTATAAACGATATAGGGTCTGGGATTAAAAGCACCATTTCAGTGTTTTCAGATGACACCAAGCTGTGCAGTGGAATAACGTCCTTACAGGATGTCTCCAATTTACAAGCTGACCTCAGCGTGCTGTTTAATTGGGCAACTATTGGCAAATGAGATTTAATGTTGGTAAATGTAAGGTTATGCACTTGGGGGCTAAGAATATGCATGCATCATACATACTAGGGGAGTACAGCTGGGGGAATCAATGGTGGAGAAGGATCTGGGAGTTCTGGTAGATCACAAGCTTAATAATAGCATGCAATGCCAAGCTGCGGTTTCCAAAGCGAGCAAAATTCTTTCTTGTATTAAGAGAGGTATGAACCACAGAGAAAGATATATTTTTTCCCCTGTACAAATCATTTATAATGCCTCATCTGGAATATGCAGTTCAGTTTTGGGCACCAATTTACAAAACGGATATCGGGGAACTGGAAAGAGTGCAGAGAAGGGCAACCAAACTGATAAGTGGCATGGAGGAGCTCAGCTATGAGGAATTGAATTTATTCTCCCTCGGAAAGAGTAGATTAAGATATGATCAACATGTATAAATAAGTAAGTGGCCCATATAGTGAACTTGGTGTAGAGTATTCACCTTAAAGCGGTACGATTTGAGCCATACATTTTGTATGGCTCAAATCGCAACGTATCCGCACCAAAAACGTGCAGGACCCTTGTTTTGGTCTGCACTGGAATCGGATCGCATGGGTATTTGCACCCATGTGATCCGATTCTGCACATCGCACCGCGTTTTGCGACCGAATTTGGGGTGTTGTTAACATACACTCCCGCAATGGTTCGCATGAACGGGGTGCGACTGTGATACGGTGTGGAAATCGCACAGAAACGGTGCGAATTCCGCACTGCATCAGTGTGAACCCAGGCTCAATCTGTTGTGGGTGCTGGCGTCGGCATCTTCAGTAAGGAAACCCGGAATTGAAGCCTTGCGGCTTCACATTAGGTTCCCTACTTCGCATGCGCAGTGCTCTCTGTGAATGGGCCACAGTCTTCTGGGACCTGTGAAGTGTCCCAGAAGGCTGTGGAGTTAGGAAGGGGGCTGAACTTCCCGCCTCAGATCACCGCCTCAATCTGACCCGGAAGTGGGAGAGGGTACCTGTCAAAACCAGGTACCCGCTCCCCCCTCCCCCCAAAAAAGTGCCAGATGTGGAAGGGGGAGGAGGCAGACAGGCGGAACTTCCCCTTTTTATGTTGAGTTCTGCTTTAAGATCATCACAGAGGACAAGGGGGCACTCTTTCTATATCTGGAGATTAAATCTATTTTCCTCCAGATGTAAAGTCTTCTTCACAGTAAGAGCTGTGATAATGTGGAATAGACTCCCCAAGAACTGGTTCTGGTCAGTTCAGTAGATCATTTTAAAAAAAGGCCTGGATTCTTTCCTAAATGCACATAATATAACTGGATACTAACATTTTATAGGTTAAGTTGATCCAGGGAATATCCGATTGCCTCTCGGGGGATCAGGAAGGAATTTTTTTCCCCTGCTGGAGTAAAATGGATCATGCTACAGGATAGTGTGTATGGAGGTTTTCTATTTGTGTGTGTGTTTTTTTTTTTTTTCTCTTGGTTGAACTGGATGGATATGTGTCTTTCCAACCGATAAATACAACACTAAAGGCCACTATGGCCTGAGGAAGGAGCATGCATGCTTCATAATGTGTAGCCAATAACGCCACTTCCAGGAGTGACATAAAATCCGCTCCGCTGTGCATTCTAAGCTGATCCAGGAAGTTCTGGGGGCCTCTGTAACAGCTAGGCCTGCGAGATTGATGTCAAGCAGTGTTTTTTAATCTTTTAATGAGCATTCCTTTCACCTATATTTGTGAGTTGCCTAATATGAATTAATAAATGCTTTTACAACCATGCTACACTCAGATGGTGCTGTCTCTCCCTCTGATTTTTCTATTTGTGTACATTGCATGTGGCACACGTACAGTTGTGTTCAAAATAATAGCAGTCAGACATCACTAACCTGATCAATCACTGTTTTTGGTAGAAATGATATTTCTACATGGCAAATAATTTACTAGCAGGTGTAGTAGAGTAATAGAAATCCAACAGACCCAACAGTCATGACATGCATGCTGCTGATTCTGTGTTATTGAATCACTAATTGAAAGGGGCATGTTCAAAATAATAGCAGTGTGGAGTTCTATTAGTGAGGCCATTCATTCTTTGAAAAACAGGTGGCAATTATTGCCCTTATTTAAGGAAGGAAGGCAGCAAATATACATGCTGGTTACAGTGCATTTCTCTCTGAAATTCTGAGGAAAATGGGTCGTTCCAGACATTGTTCAGAAGAACAGCGTACCTTGATTAAAAAGTTGATTGGAGAGGGAAAAACATATAAAGAAGTGCAGAAAATGATAGGCTGCTCAGCTAAAATGATCGCAAATGCTTTAAAATGGCAACCAAAACCTGAAAGACGTGGCAGAAAGCAAAAAACTACCATTCCAATGGATAGAAGAATAGCCAAAATGGCAAGGACTCAGCCAACAATCAGCTCCAGGAAGATCAAAGAAGGTGTAAAGTTACCTGTGAGTACTGTTACAATTAGAAGACGCCTATGTGAAGCCAAGCTATCTGCAAGAAGCCCCCGCAAAGTCCCACTGTTGAAAAAAAGACATCTGCTGAAGAGGTTACAATTTCCCAAAGAGCACATTGACTGGCCTAAAGAGAAATGGTGCAACATTTTGTAGACTGATGAAAGTAAGATTGTTCTTTTTGGGTCTAGTGGCCGGAGACAGTTTGTCAGACGACCCCCAAACACTGAATTCAAGCAACAGTACACTGTGAAGACAGTGAAGCATGGTTGCGCAAGCATCATGATATGGGGATGTTTCTCATACTACGGTGTTGGGCCTATTTATCGCATACCAGGGATCATGGATCAGTTTGAATACATCAGAATACTTGAAGAGGTCATGCTGCCTTATGCTGAAGAGGAAATGCCCTTGAAATGGGTGTTCCAACAAGACAACAACCCCAAACACACCAGTAAATGTGCAACATCTTGGTTCCAGACCAACAAGATTGACGTTATGGAGTGGCCAGCCCAATCCCCAGATCTTAATCCAATAGAAAACTTGTGGGGTGACATCAAAAATGCAGTTTCTGAGGAAAAACCAAGAAATAGAGAAGAACTGTGGAATGTAGTCCAATCAACCTGGGCTGGAATACCTGTTCACAGGTGCCAGAAGTTGGTTGACTCCATGCAACACAGATGTACAGCAGTTCTCAGAAACAGTGCTTATACAACTAAATATTAATTAAGTGATTCAAAGGAAAGCAAAATCTTCAAACATTTTTCAGTTTATATAGTGAATGTTTGAGTTTGTAAAGAAGAATACAAACACTGCTATTTTTTTGAACAGTCTAATATTCACTTTTCTTCAATTTGTTTAGAGGAACAACACAAATTTGATCTATTTTTCTTTATGTTTTGATTTGGAATAGAATGTGTAGTTTTCCCAATGCATTTGTGTATATGGAAATAAAAGCTATTAGAAGGATTTTGAGCTTTATTCACTTTTTTCAACACACTGCTATTATTTTGAACACAACTGTATATCCAATGTGATCTGTGGAAATAAGGTTGCCATTGATCTCTCTGCCCAATGGTGCGCTTTATTGCTATTAAGGAATGGCCTGGCCCTAAGGCAGAGTAGCAGAGTACAGGAAGCATGGAACATGAACCAAGTACATTTCCTGTATGCCAACTTGCTCCCTAACAGTACTAATGCAGTTTTCTGAAGAAAAAATGGAGCTGGATTCAGATCTAACTAGTGGTGACAGACCTCATGGGAGCCTAGGTCCTTATCACAGTTGTAACCTCCCTAATCTTGTGGTGACCACCATAATGATATTGAGCAGGGTCCTTCTTTCTGACTTCAGATAGTCACTTGGTTCCTGCATCTCAACTACTTTGTATTGCTAATGGAACGATAGGAGGTGGAAAAATCAAAAGCAGACCCTAATTAGCTCCATCTTCTTTCAAGCACACTGAAACCTTGCTCTCCTTCCATCAGTAGTGATGTTGGTATCACTAATACAGTACCTTTAGTACCACTGTTATCACTAAAAGCCAATGAGCAGGCTGGAGATTACACCCAATCCTAAAGAGTAGACGAACTCTTCAGGTAAAAGTTGGAAAGTTCTGTCCTCTGGTGACCACCAGTCTAAGAGAGCATGTCTTCCAAGTTTTGCATGTGAAATCTATTTTCATAACTTTGGCAGAATTACCAATCTCCAACAAGTAACTAATATTGCATTTGCTTTCTTGCAGAAACTACTTGGATGTGGAAATCTCCCTTTCCCAAGAACAGATCCAGAAATACACAGACTGCCTACAGGTGTACTTAAACAGCATAGTCCGAGAGCTCAGGAGACTTTTCCTGGTACAGGACCTGGTTGATTCATTAAAGGTATGAATGATAACCATCAACTTGTGTGGTATTACTGATAATATCCAGTTAAAGCCACACTGGTCCTCAATATTCAATGTATAATAAATAATCAATTCTGTGCTGTCTACAGACACCAGACAGATTCAGACTTCAGATTCCTACTGTAAGAATGGAAAAATTAACTTTACACACAGGCATCTCTGATTAATAAATGCTAATAAATAGGGTGTGTTGTAGTTCTATAAGTTTTTTAAATTTGTTTTAGCATTCATCAGTCTGTAAACAGTAAGGTAACATGCAGTACTAGAAAACGTGTATATATACAGTATAGGGTAGATTTACTAAAACTGGTGTGCTCAGAATCTGGTGCAGCTGTGCATGGTAGCCAATCAGCTTCTAACTTCAGCTTGTTCAATTAAGCTTTTGCAATAAAACCTGCAAGCTGATTGGTTTCTGTGCAGAGTTGCACCAGATTTTGCACTCTCCAGTTTTAGTAAATAACCCCCTCTATGTCTTCCATGCAAGGGTGTAAGAACAGATCATAGTACAATTTTGATGGGGCCCTCTGGCAACCTTTCCATTGGATACCTGGCAGTGTCAACCGTAACCATACTGCCATTGACCGTACTGCAGAACTAAACTCTTCTGCTGACACCCAGGGCTTGTGCCATAATGTGGCAGCATTTTTTTTTAATACAAGAATGGTGCAGATATTGTAAACAGTAGATGTAAAATAACACTTTAAAAACCTGAAGTTTACGCTGCTAATATTTTGCTTGATTCCTCCCTCCATTTTATCTTCCCTTGTACTTCTCAGATCTTCACTTTGCAGCCCATTAGGAGCTGTATATCCTTTGTTCCAGAAGTTTGCATTCATAGCAATGAGTGGAGAGTCTTCTGATAATAGACTTCTGGAGTGGTGATTGTCACAGAGGAGAGAAATACAGTACAATAGTCTAAAGCTGGTCATACACTGATCTAAATTTGGCCAGTTCAGCAGCGACTGGACAAATTTCAATCAGTTTGTGGCTGTCCCTGTTTGAAGAGACGTATTGGAAGATGTTCCTTGATCAGCTGCTGATCAGTATATTCTGACAGTGGTGGGTTCTGCTGTGACAGTACAGTGTCCTGGTGAGGGGAATCCTTCATCCCCCTTGTATTTGTGAATGGAGGAATCTTGTTTTTTTTTTTAATGTCACCCAGTCCAAAGATGCAAGGGCCTTGACTAGCAAACTACATAATGGTGGCTGAAAATTCTATAGAATTTCCACTTATCATTCTCCCAGTATGATTGACTTGCCTTGCTTTTGTCTGTTTGTTTCCAGTTTGCAGTACTAATGTGGCTGCTGACCTATGTCGGAGCTCTCTTTAATGGACTTACACTCCTCATTATGGGTAAGTGACTTCAATCTGAATTGTCTTAACCATTTATTACTATGTTTTTAAGCACATAGCTAAGGATTTGATACAAGCTTGAAATTATTGACATGGATTTACAATGATCTTTGTGAATGCACACGTGACGGTGTCAATGGGATCAGAGAGTCTCCCTTTTTTTTTTTAAATAAATAACTACAGCATATAGATGTGAAATGGCTATACAGGAAAGGTCAGAATTAAAGTATAAGCTCACTTTTATGGAAAAAATATGCATTTATTTTTTCCACCGAGATCCTGGAAAGCATTGTACCCACAATTATTAGATCACGGGTGCAATGTAGACTCCTGCAGACATGTCCTCCTGGTTTTCAGCTGCTACCTCTCTACATGCTCTCTGTAAGCAGAAGGACAAGCGCCCTCACAGCCCATTGAGACTACAAGTCTGTCACAGTGGCAGATGGCACCTGTAGTTTGTTTATTCACAGCAAACTGTGAATGAATCATGTGGCTGTGTGGGCAATGCCCCTCCCAGTAGCACTCTTCAAAAAGTTACAGTGGGTGTGGGGAAAAGGACCCCTGCTGCTGTCACGGGGGAAAGGGTATTGGAGGAGAGGCATGTATACAAGGGGCATCCATACATGTGGCTGTGGGATGGAGAACACCAAAGGTGCTTATGTTTGGTGGGGTGCTTCCTGGCTGGATAGCTAAGGTGGGCTCAGACTAGGATATGAACATGCCTAATCTCATCCCCGATCAGAATTTCTGCTGGACATGTATAGTTTTGTTACTTTTAATTTTGCTGTATCCAATACTGTAGTTTTTCTGCATCGAAGTGTCAGTAGGCACCTTATAATGTGACAATAATTTACAAAAAGAAAAGAAATACACTTTTTAATGTGACAATATTTCCAAATAGAAAATAATTACCGCCCCCCTCCCCCCCGGGCTTTACAATAATCACATGAAATTGATTTGCAGCCTGAAATGAAGACAGGCACAGTTTTTGTTTTATCCAGCCGTAATTACAACATTCAAATGAAAGATGTAACACCAACATGTCAGAAAAACATTTAAAGAGTTCAAAAACAGAATCACTGTGCTGGAAAAAGGATCTTCCCCTGTTAAATATGACTTCAATCAGGTGTAGCTAATAACCTTTTCAATGGCACAGAAAGCCATTTGACTTTCAACTGTGATCAGCTGTGGTCAGTTTGATTAGCTCAGCATGAAAAAAGCTTTCCTGGAGCATTTCAGTCCCTAGTAGTGCAACTGAAGCAAACAATCAATAATGCATGGCAAGGCACTGTCAAAAGATCTCCGGGATAAAGTTGTGGACAGGCACAAGTCAGGAGATGGATACAAAAAAATTCATAGGCTTTATCAATGCCTAGAAGCACAGTGAAGTCTATTTTGGTGGAAGGTAATTGGTACTGGATCAGGATGTCGCTCCAAATTGAGTGAAAGAAGCAGGAGAAAACTGGTCAGAGAGGTTGTCTGACCAGTTTTATCCTGGTTCTTTCACTCAATGTATCTGTCTTCATTTCAGGCTGCATTTCAACAAAATGTGATTATTTTAAAGGGGATGATTCATTTCTATACCCATTGTTTTTTAAACAATTCTCAATTCAGAAAACTGCCATTTTCACTGGAAAAATTAGTGGATATGTCAAATTCTGATTAGAAATAACACAGATGTTAGTTGAGCACAAATGTTGCTAATCCATGGGGAACTTTTGCTAATCACAGTAGCTGCTTAGGACAGAAATCCCATCTGCAGAGATTTAATGCCTAAATAAAATAGACAAAGTGTTAGAGGGACCAGACCACAGAAAGCTTTGCACAATTTTACTGAATCCAAGGGACAGGGTTTCTTGTGCCAAAGTGTCTGAATGAAAAACAGTACGCCAAGCTCATAGCAGCTGATCAGATTAGTGTTTACAAAATCCCACAGTTCCTATGGGGAACACAGACAGTTCTCCAATTCATATACACATATACAGTCATTGTGCTTTTTATAGGTCATCTGATTAATGTAATCATTGCTGCCTGCCTGCAACAGTGATGACACATTTGATAAATTATAACCTTTGACACATTATAGAAGTACACATTATTTGTGCTATTATAGTTTGAAATATTAGTTAACAAAGTCAAAGGTTTTGGTTTCCATAAACCCATTTCAAAACTAAAGTAGCCATAGTTGTCTCCACAACTCAATAAATATCAAATCACAATATTTTAAGTAAATTATACTTATGTATATAAAGAGGTTTGTTTAACACCTCTAAAAATCTATTTTATATGGATGAGTAGAATCTCTCACTCCATACATCTCGTCTAGTCTAAGAGCCTCTATGTATGTATACAGTATATCAGTAGCACCTCATTAATATTATTATTATTATACAGTATTTATATAGCGCCAAAGGCTATGCTGAGTGCTGTACAGTAGCAAGGGGGACAGAACATGAGACAAGACAGTAACAATACAATACACGAGGGGTTCGAGGGCCCTGCTCTTTCGAGCTTACAATCTAAGAGGGAGGGGAAGGTGGCACAGGAGGAGATGGCTATGGGGGATGGAGAGGCGGGAGGAGTGGAGGAGGTTAGTTGTTAGGTGAGGTCGGGTGTTAGGTGAGGTTGGGGTAGGCTTCCCTAAAGAGGAGGGTTTTCAGGGTGCGCCTGAAGGTGAGGAGGGTAGGCGACAGTCTGATGGATTGGGGTAGGGAGTTCCAGAGGATGGGGGAAGTCCTGGAGAAGTCCTGCAATCGGGCGTGGGAGGAGGAGACCAGGGAGCTAGAGAGTAGGAGGTCCTGTGAGGAGCGGAGGGCACGGGTAGGGTAGTATTTGGGTATCAGGTCAGTTATGTAGTTTGGGGCGGCATTGTGAATGGCTTTGTAGGTCAGAGTTAGCAGTTTGAATTTGATGCGTTGGGCAATCGGGAGCCAATGAAGGGATTGGCAGAGGGGGGAGGCAGATGTGGAGCGGTTGGTGAGGTGGAGGAGTCTAGCCGCTGAATTTAGGTTCACTTAAACCAGTCCTTCTCAACCTTTTTGCCCCAGAGGGATTCTTATACATTTTTCCAGGTCATGGGGAACCCCTTCTAAAACCAGTTCATGGGAGGGGTTCAGTTAAAAAAAAAAAAGCCTCTTACTTGCATGGCTGTGGGACAAATGCTCCTTATTATATTGTTGGTATGAATGTCACCCTTTCAGACAGCTAAAAAGATAATCTGTGTCATGCTGATGGCCCTGCCAAAAGATGTTGGACCCCAAAACAAGGAAGGCACCATGAGCAGCAAGATGGGAGGTCAGTCAGTTGCAGGGCAAGGAACCCCTAGGAACCTCTGGAGGAACCCTAGATATCCACGGAACCCTAGTTAAGAATGGCTGACTTAACTAATTTTAATAAAGCTTTAAGAAAGAACCCTCCCCCCTCAAGTGCAGCCTGCAATGTTAGGTACTGCCCTTCCTTCCCATTCCCTTACTCTTCACTGTACTACCCATGCCCAGCACTGTACAGCCTTCCTGCTGAAAACTTCCTCTTTTTATGCACGTGTGCTACAACCCCATACTTTGCAATATATTCAACCATCCTGTCGACTATAGCTCATGTGTAGGAAGAAATATGGGCCAAATATAGGCCTTAGTGCACGCACTAAAAAGAGGAGCTAGCAGGGATTTTTTGCAAGAAAAACTATTTCTCCAGAAGAATTTATTTAGTTGAATACATTTAAGGTTATGGTGTTATTATTATTATTATTATACAGTATTTATAAAGCGCCAATAGTTCGCTCAGCGCTGTACATTACAAAGGGAGACAGAACAATACCAATACAATGCAAAACATGAGGGGATCGAGGGCCCTGCTCTTTCGAGCTTACAATCTAGGAGGGAGGGGGTGGTGGCACAGGAGGAGATAGCTGTGGGGGATGGAGTGGTAGGAAGAGTGGAGGGAGGGAGGCAAGTTAGCAGGGGGTGGGGTAGGCTTCCCTGAAGAGATGGGTTTTCAGGGTGCGCCTAAAGGAGAGGAGAGTAGGTGATAATCTGATGGGTTGGGGCAGGGAGTTCCAGAGGATGGGTGACACCCTGGAGAAGTCCTGGAGGCGGGCATGGGAGGAGGAGACCAGGGAACTAGAGAGAAGGAGGTCTTGTGAGGAGCGGAGTGTGCGTGCTGGGCGGTACTTGGATATTAGGTCAGTGATGTAGTTCGGGGCAGTATGGTGGACAGCTTTGTACGTCAGCGTTAGGATTTTGAATTTGATCCGTTGCGCAATCGGAAGCCAGTGGAGGGATTGGCAGAGGGGGGTGGCGGAGACAGAGCGGTTGGAAAGGTGAATGAGTCTGGCAGCCGTGTTCAGGATGGACTGAAGAGGGGATAGCCAGCGGCGAGGCAGGCCAGTGAGGAGGGAGTTGCAGTAGGTGTTGGATAAGTTGCTTTGTGTTGCTCAGATCCTTTTATATTATTACAGACCCTGGATATATATCATTATATTCCCTTTGCCAGACTGTCATGATTTATTTATTTATTTATTTATTTATTACAGGTACTTGTATAGCTCCATAAATGTGTGCAGTGCTTTACATATTTATTATACATTCACGTCAGTCCCTGCCTTTAGGGAGCTTACAATCTAAAGTCCCTAGCTCAGATTCATACATACACATACTAGGGCCAATTTAGACAGATGCCAATTAACCTACCAGTATGTCTTTGGAGTGTGGGAGGAAAACAGAGTACCCATCATTATCATCATATTAGGCATCAGTATGGCTTCCACAGATGCTAGTAGCTTGGTTTTACTTTACATTTAGGTAGCTAGGAACAGTACAGCTCAAAGAAAATCACAAGGATTTTATCAGATTTATTTTAACAAATATGGCAAAACACAAATGCATAAGCTACAACTAATGAGAATTCTGCTGCAATTAAAACATGGAATGGAGGTACATTTATTGGGCAATGTTAATTACATGTCATCTGACACATCAATTCCCCTTTTAATTACAGGTTCAATAATGTA